TATGTAAACGCACCAGTAACTTGGTGTTACAAAACGTATTGTTGTGTGTGATTCGGTGAGTAAGTACAAGCGAGCATTGAGTCGAAGTTTATCCATTCCTTTTACCCAAAGTGGGATAAAAGCGATATCTGTGGGCCCCTCGATGATTTAGTGATGACAAAGGAAAGTGCTCGGCCAGGCCAGGACTGATTTGATTTGTTCAATTGGTCAGTCGTCATAAATCGAAAATCGGGAAACGACATATAGACTGAGAGAATGATTTCAATCCATGTCTCACGTCTATACGATATCTAGAATGGAGGAATATATAATTCCTTGTCTAAAGGACGCATATCTGATAAGATCAGAGTTGACAGCGGCTTTTGAAAGCTACGATTGCAGATCAGGATCTGAAGTCATACGCATAATAGTTATTAGACTTATCCAAGTGGGAGACTGTTGGATTAGTGTCTAAGTCCATAACTATTTTTGTATGTACTTGACCCGATGGTGCATGGTCCTTTTGGGTTGCCTTCACCAAAGCAACTTGATAGGATGAATTATGGAGATAGAGGATTAATTATGATTTATTAATATATTATGAGAATAATATATTAAAGGAGAAATCATATTGTTTAATTAATATTAGTCAATAATTAATTAAGAATTAATTTTGTGGCTAAAAGAGATTAATTAAACTTAGGGGACTGGAATTGTAATTATAAGATAATTGCAATTGGGCTATGGATCACCTTGGAATATAGGTTGGACGAAATCTATGGGAAGCCCATATGATTTTCATCCAAGGCATGTTCCAGAAGGGGTCCATGGGCTGCTTAGGGCTTAAGCAGTCAAATTAGGGTTTCCTTGTTAGATAACCCTAATTGCCTACCTATTTAAAGGCCCTTTGAGACCAAAAAAACGTGGCTAACCTTTTCAAGAGGGTTTCTGGACGTTTTTGGAGTTATTATTCTCTTTCTTCTTCATCCTAGTTGCTCTTGATGTTTGTGAGCCATTAGAGGGGTGACATTTGTGACTCTAAGCTTTTAGAAGCCAATTACAAGAAGGAATATATTGTTATTGCTACATAACAATAAAAGGTTAGATCTAAACCCTATTTTATGTTAATATGATTAATCACATGCTAGATCTAGGGTTTATGGCTTTGGATGATTATTGCATGTTCATTAGACAAACTAGATCCAAAGCTTTAGGGTTTGCATGTACACCATAGGAATGTTGTAGTGCTCAAAACCCATCAATAACAACATCCTATATACCAGGATACAAATCTAACAGATCACTATAACATAACAACATCTTATATACCAGGATACAAATCTAACAGATCACTACAACATAACAACATACAGTAAACCATGATATCAATCCAATGGGTCGGCCTTGGTGCCTTCGACCCGTAAGTAAAGTGAGGAGAACTTACCTCTCAATCCGAACACAGTTTGAATCTCTGCTCCGACAACCGGCACTACTCGACTCCTAGTAATCAAAACATTTCCCATTCTAATTAATAACAATTCCCAAAATACCCTTAGTTAAACTTGGTCAATTGTCAAAAGTCAAGTCAATACCCAACCGAGTCAACTCAGTCGAGTCGACCCGGCCGAGTACGTTGGGCGTACTCCTCTGTATGCGGGGCGTACTCGTTGGTTGACCAGGCGACGGGGCTCTGACCACGTACGTTCAACGTACCACCTGGTACACCCATCGTACACACTTGGTCAGCTCTTTTCCCATTAAGAGCTTATTACAACAAGTCCTTATGTCCAAAGTCAGATCCAAGGCCCAAATAACGTTCTTGACCATAAAGTTTCCAACTTTATGGTCTTGCATGGCCAAAAAGTGCTTAATACTAAAGATCTCATCTACTTAACCCATTAAAACCTTGTAGCACTTGCATGGAAAGGAATAAGTGATCAAGTCCATATTTTTATGCTTCTAAACACCACAAAATGACTAAAAGGACAACTTAAATGGATTGGAGTAGCTTATACTCAAAATACCCAAATAATGGGACCAAAAGGACACAAACTCCATTGCATACTTAGATTTATGCATAGAATCATCAAGTTCACAACTTTATACCTCAAAATGGATCTTGAAGGTGAGATGTTCCTGGATCTAGAAGGTCTTGATCTTCCAATATGATGCTTCTTTCTTCACCTTGCTTCAAAGGCACCTCAAACACACACTTTTAAGCTCAAAGGATCACACACAATGGATTAGGGTTGCAAAGGATGAAATGAAGGTTGGAGAGGAAATGAGAAATGAGGAGTTAATGATGCTTAAATATGGACCAAACCCTAAAAATTAGGGTTTGAGGATTCTTCACGTATGCCCTGTGTATTGGGTGTACGCCCGACGTACCCAGTCCCATGCATGTACGCTCATCGTACACAACATACGCCTATCTTACTAAGCCTCAACCAAAAATTTCAAAAATGTCACTATGGGCCATTTTGCTAACTTTCTCATACACAAGGGCTAAATACTATAGGTCTTGATAATAAAGGGGGAAATCTGAAAATTCCTCAATGCCGGGATGTTACACCAAAATATCAATTCCGGAATGTGGCTCGGGAATGTGTTTCCGGAATAGTGTCAGGAACCATAACCCTAGTAAATGCCATTATATAAAGGAATTCAAGCGTCCAAAATTTTTACCTTGTTAAATTTACTACTAAAAATTCATTTCTCATAATCCAAAGAAATGACATACTGCGATTGTGGCGCTGAAGGTATTATAAGGACATCAACTACTAGAAAAAACCCTGGACGACTTTTTTACGCTTATCCTAAAGAGGTATGTCGGTTATCCTTTTATTATTTTTCTTTGAATTAATATTAATTTACACAATATACGTCATGTGTTTGATCTTAAATTTTCAGGGACCACATTCTGGGTTTATTTGTTGACAAAACAAAAGACAATAATTCGGTGATAATCAGTAACTTATTTCGATCGAAGAAGAAACTTGAAACCCAAAATATGCACTTGAAGATAACGTTAATTTGTAGTTGGATCGAAGAAGAATCATTGTGTAGAAGCTGTAAGTTTTGTGTTCATAAACTAAGTTTCCCTTTTGTAACGCTTATTAATCTTTTTAATATGTAATGTTTTATTGTTTGTTAGTATTATGGTACTTGTAAATTATGTTTTTTCTATCTTTGTAATATGTAACAAATATTAGGGCAATAATAATATTTTTCATTACACACTACAAATCAATTACAAATACAAACATAAATAATTGTAATTACATTGGTAATAAAACTGCAATCAAAGGGTCTGGTATTTCTCATTCATTTGGAGGGGGAAGAGGGTGCATGGTTTGTGTTTGGTAGCCAGTATGAAACACGTCAGCCCGATAATATATCTGAAACATATCATGTAATTCATGGATGTTCGAATGACGTGATGCCACAATACCATGACCGCAATTTCCCACATGAACATGTATGACTGTTCATATCAACAACACAATTTTTTTTTAAAATCAAAAACTCGATAAATGTCAGATGGGAGCGGAGACGGGATCTCTGGCGGGATCTTTGTTGCTTGCCACCGAACAGACTTTTGCATCCTTTTATGAAGCACCATTTCAGCATATGGGGTGAGTACGGTAGTCAAACTCGCTGAAAAGTAAATATGATCAAATAAGGTTCCTGTACAAGTAATTAAATAAATTTAGTATTTCACCTGGTATTTTACCTGCCATTAATCTGCGTTCATCGAAAGTCAGTTGAATGTAGTCACGAATTGCCTCGGTAAGCATTATTATCGGTACATTGCGTTGATTTACCGATAACACAAAAAAAATCGGGAACATCAATGTTGACTACATTCCAACGGATGTTAGGAAAATAGGCTATTGCCCATTTCGCATGATCGATGTTGGAAAACATTTCACAAGCATCAGGGGTCAGCCGACGGAAGTTTTCTTCAAAACCAGACATAATATATGAGCTTGATGTCATCCAGAACAAAGGTTGTAATGTTCTGCCAGAGATGTCTCTTGTGCGCATATACTTGAACACACTTTTAGAAGTATACCCATGATAAGAATCAGGGAATACATGCTCTATACAAGAACTAACGATATCATCCATATTTCTTATGAACGATACTTCCCTACCCTGTCTCAAAGCTTTTCTTAACCTCATAAGGAACCAGGTATAACAGTAAAGATTATTTTCCACGGCTAGACCAAATGCTATAGGAAGGGTCTGGTTGTTCCCGTCGGTAGCAATCGCTACAAATATTGTTTTTAGGTAATCCCCTCTAAGAGAGACACTACCTATGAAGATGACAGACAAGAAGCAGTCTATGAATGCATGGATCTGTATTTTTTTGGGAACAAAAACGAATTAATTTAGATGTAGAAACATTACATATTTTAAAAAAACATTAGAAAATTACATAAAACAAATATATCACCCATCCAATAGCCACAAAACAAGCTTCGAAACGATCAATCAAATAAGTTTTGATGTGAGTGTAAGTATGCGTGTTGGTTCGCCTAAGGTTGTGAAGGTAAACAAACAGGTTGTTAAAGCTTTCTTCGTGCTGACTCTCTGAGAAACTCATTTTCAAGTAGTTTTATAAGAGATAATTACAAATTTTACTTGATTGGATGTAATGTTCTAAGCCGTATGTACATATATGAAAATAAAAAAGGACTGATGTTCTAATCCGGAGCCTCCGGAATAGATACTCCGGAACGAAGACCACAACTCTGGAATGCTATGTTCCGAAGCAAGTGTTCTTTTTACAAAAAGAAAAAAAATGGTTATTTTTTTAAAAATGGTTCTTTACGATGGTTAGATTACTCAATTTCCTATATAAGCAACTAATTTTATTAGTTATTTTTAGTTGAAGCTAATAATAACTTGACCGTTGGATCGTAAATAATAAAACAAATCAGTATATGAATCCAAAATTTAAAACTTTATGATTTCTTAAAGTAAAGTTACCATTTAGTTTGATATATTCTCCGGTCCTCATTATTACAACGATAGCAACCCCACTTTCAAATTCAAATCTCATCTTTTACCTCCCACTATCTGATACCATACCACCCAAGTTCCGACACAAACTCGCCGGAAAATCAAGAAACCCGGATCCAGTCTCAGAAATGGAACCAAAACAGCAAACCCAACAACAAAAACTTGAAATCCCATCTTCACCATTACCACATTCATCATCTTCTTCTTTTTTACTCCGTGACATTTCGAATTTTAAAACCCCCAAACCACGACGCCAGTCTCAAGCAAACCCTAGTTTCAACTTCGAATCTCCTTGTCCTCAGTTCTTTAGTGCTCTTAAACAAACACCCAAATCATCACATTCCACCGTTCGTCGCCGCCCTAGGTTTTCACTTGCTGCTCAAAAACTCAAAGCTGTGGAACTAGAGCAATCAAAGTCATCAAGGAAAACACAAACAGACAAAGAGAAGTCACTGAAGTCGTTGGCAAAATCTCTTACTGTTTGGCTCAATTTCCTGTTCGAAAATCCCAGGTTTGGAAACACGATCACTTATTTACTTCAATTTAAAGCTTATCAACAATGTTTTCAAGTTCGTACATGTTATTTTCAAACCAAACAATGCTTTCCACCCTGTTTCTTAAAATTTGGATCAAATTATTATTCAAAAATACAGGTCTTGTGGGGTCGATGTATCAAGATTCACCGGTGAAGACTCTTCTGATGGGTCATCCATGGTGTTTTCCGGTGGAAAAAGAGACAGCGTCTGTCATGATGGAATTGGGGTTGATCGAGAGTGGCGTGGGCCCAAACGTAGGAAAGATACGCTGTGGATTCATAAGGGTGAAGTGGAAAACAACTTTTCAAGTTCTATACATACACGCTTGCAGGTTTCTCTTGAGGATGTTTGTAGTTTGGATGACATGAAAGAGAGAATGTCATTTTACTTGAGTCTCACTAGTTGCAAGGAGATTTTTGATGTCATGACTCATGTAACAAAGGTATGTCTGTAGTTATCTGTGGGCTTATTGTTAGTTCTAGATTATTAACTATTATGATACTAAATAACATTTTTTTTTTCTCAGAATATTGATGAAGGAAGGCTAAAGATGAAGGCTCATTGCCCAATAGTTACTGATGTTGGAATGAAGGAGAATGCGTTGAAGATCTTAATGTGTTATAACCCTGTTTGGTTAAGAATAGGGCTTTACATCATATTTGGTGGCGAATCTTTGTTACCAAATCCAAACACAGAAATGAATTATGATCAAGAAATTTCTTTTCTTAAAATGGTTGCTGAAAAGTTGTTTTTCTCGCATTCTGGACTTGCAAAAGCCTACATCTATAACAAACTGGTTGAGGGTTTGTATAGACCAGGTTATTATGAGAAACTAGGGAGTATTATATTGAAGAAGTTTTTATTGCTAGTAATCATACTTGATCGAGCTAAATCTCAGAGTAGTTTGCCTATTAGTTATGGAATAGATGGAGTTGATGGAGGGTCACCATTGTTGTTCACATCACGAGCTACTATCAAATCAAGCAGTGAAGTGATTTCTGGTAAAAAGAAGAAAATTTATCTTTTTTCTTTTACCTCTTTCTTTAGTTTTAAATCAACAACTCATTGTTTGGATATTTGTTCTTTTGGCATGTGTAGATTTTTTATCACCGGATGTTATGCATGGAGTTGGTAATCTTCTTACACACCTCATGATTATAGGCTACAAGGTTTCTTATCGACAGGTGTGTAGCTCATTTTGATTACATCATATTTAGTTTTGTCTTTTTCTTATTGTGGGTCCCACTTCAGTTCTCCTCGTCTAGTTAATGGGACCCACCATAACATCTTCATACTAGGTAATGAAAGTGAAGAGCACTTTATGTCTTTTTCTTCTTGTGTATCATGCTCATGTTTTGTGTTTACATCTTGCAGAATCCTCTTGTCAAATATGTGTTTAAGGTGACTGATCTTTTTAATGATCTTCAAAATGGAGTTCTTCTTTGTAGAGTCATTCAGCTCTTGCAACATGACCCTTCTATTCTTAAGGTTTGCTTATTTAAATTAAAAATGTCAAAAGAGTTTGATTTTCTATGATTTCTATCTAACTTACTTCTGTTTCTTGTTTGGCAGAAAGTGGTTGTTCCATCAGATGATCGAAAGAAGAACTTTGCAAATTGTGAGATTTCTCTAAAATATCTGAAAAAGATTGGAGTTCCATTATGTGATGAAGATGGAGTTGAGATTATAACAGAAGATATTGTTAATGGGGATAAGGAGCTCATAATCTCATTACTATGGAACATCTTTGTTCATTTACAGGTTTAGTTCAAATCTTATATACTTTAGTCAACATGTTAGCACGTGTCTTCTTAATGCATTTGTAAAGAATATGATAATTTCATATATTTAGTTGGATTTTTTATACTTTAATTTGCAGTTGCCACTTTTGATCAACAACAAGCTTTTATCAGATGAAATCACCAAAATCCGTGGACTTGAAGAGGTATGCATTATACATATATAGATAACACATTCATTTTATTTGACTTATTGAACTTTCATACTTTATCTCAAACATTTTTTGTTGCATATAAATTGTAAAAATGTAAATCTAAACCATTATATTTGGCACTTTCTTTTTTCAAAGTCACTCATTCTTGCAAAAAAAAGTGTAATTTATGCATTTTGGCAAGAACAAAATATAGTAAGGCCATAACTCTTCATTGTATCTTTGCAGATGCTTCCGGAAAGCTCTAGTTCATTGCAGATGCTTCTTGAGTGGATTAAGGTTGTATTGTTTTCTAATAAGTGTAATTGCATCAAGTAGTTGTATCATTAAATTTTGAATGATGACTCCTGACAACTTTTATGCTTCTCATTTTGCAGGCAGTTTGTGAAAATTATGATTTGAAAGTTGATAATTTTGCTTCATTGGTTGATGGTAAAGCCATGTGGTGTGTAGTTGATTATTATTTCCGAAAAGAACATTGTAATGCTAGTTCTAACAAGGTATGCATTCTTAACATGTGAAAGTTGTGTTTTTGTTCATCTTTTTGATGATTGTGTAATAAGTTTTCATTGTTTTTGATTTTTTAGAATCAAAAGGAAACAAATGAAGTGTCACTCATGTCAGCTTCGGATTATGTGGATGCAGTTCACAACTTTTTGTTATCACAAAAGTTGACAACACTTTTGGGAAATTTCCCAGAGGTATGCTAATTGTTTAACATTAAGACAATGTACTTTTTTTCTTCTTCCCATTAAGTGTTGTCTTGATAAATGATGTTTAAAAAAATATTTGAGAGAATTGGTGATATATATATATTTTTCATTTTCAGATTCTGCAAGTTAGTGATATACTTGAATACAAAGGAGCTTGCAGTGACAGGGGTGTGATCATCCTGTTGGTTTTCCTCTCATCCCAACTAATTGTGAAGAGAAATTTGGTAATGCCCAAACTACCCTTTAAAGGGTAACTTGAATTTTTTTGGATAACACATTCTTTTTTATTTGTATACCAGCAACAGATAAACTTTCATAAGCTCTTAGGACACAATCAAAATTCAGAGAGGAAATGTATCAGGCGAGATAGACTTCTTGGAAGTCATGAAGAAACATGTCAGAACCACAATGAAGGTTCAAGTTTTGATTTAATTTTATATTAAAGTTGATTGCTTTTTGGTTTTCTTGATTGACTAATGACAAGTTATTTTTATTATTAACTTTTTATTTAGACAATGGGAGAAAGTTCAAGGCTATCATGTCTTGGTGGAAAGAAATGGCTCAGCATAACAGTAATGTCAATGTGAAGCCAGTTTACACCAAATTTATTCAAGAAAGAGCTTTGATTGTAAGCCAACAAAATAATATCAAATGTAATCAAGAAAAGGCTGCATTAAGAATTCAGTTTGCTTGGAGAAAGCATGTAAACAGCTCTCTCCATAATCAAAGGCAATCAGCTGCAACTATGATTCAGACTTGTTATAGTGGTTGGATGTTAAGAAAGAGTTTCTTGAATTACAAGCAAGCTGCAACAAAGATTCAAGCTTGTTATCGTTGTTGGATGTTAAAGAAGAGTTTCTTGAGTCACAAGCAAGCTGCAACCAAAATTCAAGCTTGTTATCGTTGTTGGATATTAAAGAAGAGTTACTTGAGTCACAAGCGAGCTGCAACAAACATTCAAAGTCATTATCGTGGATTTATATCAAGACAGAGTTTCTTGAATCAGAAGCAAGCTGCTACAAAAATTCAAGCTTTTTATCGTTGTTGTATGTTAAAGATGAATTTATTGAATCACAAGCAAGCTGCAACACAAATTCAAGCTTTTTATCGTTGTTGGATGTTAAAGAAGAAATTCTTGAATCACAAGCAAGCTGCTACGCAAATTCAAGCTTTTTATCGTTGTTGGATGTTAAAGAAGAGTTTCTTGAATCAAAAGCAAGCTGCAATGAACATTCAAAGTCATTATCGTGGATTTATATCAAGAAAGAGTTTCTTGAATCACAAGCAAGCTGCAACAAGAATTCAAAGTCATTATCGTGGATTTATATCAAGAAAGAGTTTCTTGAATCATAAGCAAGCAATAACAAAGATTCAAAGTCATTATCATGGAATGTTATTGAGGAAGAGTTTCTTGAATCACAAGCAGGCTACGATAAAAATACAAAGTTATTATCGTGGATTGCAATTGAGGAAGAGTTTCTTGAATCAGAAGGAAGCAACAATAAAAATTCAAAGCCATTATCATGGAATGTTATTGAGGAAGAATTTCTTGAATCAAAAGCAAGCAGCAACAAGAATTCAAAGTCATTATCGTGGATGGGTGTCAAGAAACAGTTTCTTGAAAACGAAACAAGCAGTTATTAAAGTACAAAGGGTATATCGGTCTTTAAAATGTTTGAGGGAATTTAAGAACTACAAACTTGAAATCAAGTCAGCAGTCATTATTCAGTCATGTACACGAGGATGGATTGCTCGTAGAATAGCATGTAGACATAGATCCCACATTATGCTTATCCAAGTAAGACTTTTGATAACCTTTGGAAAAAAAAAATATAAGAATTCTATATAAAAAAAACAAGTGTCTTAATGAAAACTCCGCAGTTATAAGTGCTTAAAGAAAACTCATGCACATTTCACATGCAAGTGTGCAACTTTATAATTCTAAAATTCTTTCATTTTTATCATTTTTCAAAATGAAATTGGTGTGGAAGAATGTGATTTTCTTTGTATTTTTTCTTTTGTAAAGATCATGACTTGTGTAATTTTTATAAATTTTTAGAGCTATTGCCGTGGTTGGTTGATGAGAAGAGAGTTTTTGTTACAAAAATCGGCTGCAATGAGGATTCAAAGTGCATTTCGATGTTTTAAAAGTTTCAAGGCTTTCAAGTGTGATAAGAATGCTGCTATTGTAATCCAACAATGCGTGAGGGAATGCATTACCAGAAAGAGGCTCTTAGGTAAGTTTTTGTTTGTTTCAATCACTTACCATTTTTTTCTCGTGGGTCCCATTTGCAAGAAATGAAGAGTAGACCCCTTTGCAGAGCCTCTTTTTGTAACATATTTTGATGTTAAAACAGGTTGTAATAATGAAACCAAGAAAGACTTCTTCTCCAATAGCCATCAACAACTTAAGACATATACAGATTCTGCTACAAAGTTGCAGAAATGGTGGCGGGGTATATTACTATCCAAAACAAGAACAAGAACAAAATCAGCCATTCTTATCCAATCTAATGTTAGAGGATGGATTTCTAGAAGAACAACAGCTCAAAGAAGGCATCGTATTGCAGTCATCCAAGTGAGTAACTTCACAAATAATTGAAATTTTTGTTCCATTGACATGAGTTCAATAATACATGCCAAACGCCAGTATAACCACCTGTTCTGTTGTGTTGAAGAAGAAATGTAAAATAAAATGTGAGATGTGTTTTGTTTGCAGTCATATTGGAAAGGGTATATTGAGAGAAAACATTCAAGAGAAAAGGTATCGGATATACGATTAAGAGTACAAAAATCAGCTGCAAATGTGGATGATGGAATGCGGATTATAAACAGGCTTATTGCAGCCCTTTCACAACTTAAAAACACCAACAGTCTCAGTGGCATCCTTCATATTTGTGCAACTCTTGGTAAACCATTACATTCATTTATAGGACAAGTTATTTTTTTACCCATAATATAGCAGTGTCTTTATTTTTTACTTTTTGACAGATATGGCAACAAAACACTCTCAAAAATGCTGTGAGGAGCTTGTGGCTGCAGGGGCCATTGACACACTCCTTGGACTTATTCGTTCCATTAGTCGTAGCATTGCTGAGCAAGAGGTTTTAAGATACACACTTTCCACTTTTAGAAACCTGACATGTCATCCTCATTTGACTCAACCCCTCATTGATGCTCGTGGATCCATTGAAACGATTTTTTGGGAATTTATACGGTCTGTAAACTCTTTTTTTTTTTTTTTTTTTTTTTTTTTACAGCTTTTTTGCTTTTTGTTTTTATAATATTTCTTTTTGTTTTGTTGTTACAGAAACAAAGAAGATGCGTACTTTGTTGCGGGAGATGTTTTAAGGAATATATGTTTGAATAAAAATGGGGTTGAAAGATTAGGTGCTTCACATGCTTTAGTTAAGAGATTGTATAATCTTGTTGAAGATCTTAAAAGGAAAGCAGGCAATGAAAAGAGGTAAATATGCTTCAAATCTTTTGTTGAAAACATATTTGCTTTACGAAATAGTCCCTGAAATGTAGTAATATTATGAAAAAATGACCATTTTACACCTATCTCTTTATCCCCATTGAGGGCAAAATTGGTATTTTCATATTATTAACTGACGAGAAGTTAACTTATTAGACTGACTAAAATGTGTCAAAAATACTTTTCAGGGATGGAAAATATTGAAAATACTAATGAGGGACCATATCTGTAAAAATCAACAAACCAGAGGGACAAAAATTGTAATTTACAGGGTCTTATGTTAGACAAAAAAAAAAAAAGAAGGCATTTGCTGATACATTAATCTTTAATGAACTTGAATAGTAATATTTCCTTCAAACTTTCAAAGTAAACAATGAAAAATATTAGGGGTGGCCATAATAACAAAGGGACCAAAACTTATGCAGGAACCCTCAAACCCTACCAGCAAAGGAACAAACGGGCAGAAGATTGAAAGAAGCTGTTCAGATCTTAAAGTTGATAACCAATGGTTGAGATCGATTCCAACTTGGAAACATTGTGGTTTTCTTTTTTACTTTTATTTTTCAAAGTCTTGTTTTCTTGCAAGAAATCTAGATTGGTGTATATATCAACTTAGAATTTGTGTTGAGTAAATGAATGAAGCTTTTAGGGTTTTTTAGGTTGAATGCTTTGATTGCCTATCGATTTATAATGATCATTGATGTGTTTGGCATTGGAGTATTTTTAACACTGAAAAAACAACTTATCAATTTATTATTGTGTTTTGGTATTTTGCATAATCTAATCTAAATATATTTTTTCTTAATCTACATTTTGGTTTTTAGTATCTATTCCAAAAAAACTGAATTTTGATCCCAAAGTTATAGATTTACAACAAAACGAAAAACGTTACAAATCATCAAATAAAAATCAAAACTGTAAAAGGAAAAACCAACTATATTTAGGGAATAAAAACACATTTTAAAAGCTTAAAAACTATTAAAAGGTAAGCAATCCAAAACACCACATTTAAGTGTAAATGAAGATGGTTTTTATGTTAGATGAAGAATTATTATTGCATAACATGATTGATTTTTGTACCAAATTATACCAATCAAATGAACCCTACATCTAAACATATATTTTTACACCAACAAAATCAACCATATCTCCCCAACAACAACGCCTATAATAACCTTAATAATATCAAATTTAAATATGAGATATATTATGACATGAAATTTTTTCTTTTTGGAAGTTTTAAGGATTCAAGCAGCCCTAGCAAGAACTTCAGTGTGTTGAGGCAGATCAGCTGGTTCAATATAAAACCCCCTTTTGACAAAAGATCTTGGAACAGTTACCGTTAACACCCCATTCTCATAACAAGCAGAAATCCCGTTGACATCAATCGTATCCGGCAACCTGAATTTTTTCATAAAAGTACGACCGCCAGGTGTCATCACCGTATCGTCAGCAGATTCTGTACGGATAATTAGGTACCTTGAGTCCTCAACTTCCACACATATTTCCTCCTTCTTAACCCCTGCAACAAAAAAAAAAAAAAAAACCAACAAATCATGATTATTTGCAAAAAAGAACCCCTCCTAAAAACCACACATGCATATTTTAACCATTTATTTAAAAGAAACTCATAATAGGTAAACCAAACCAATTTATGTTATCTTTAACCATTTAACCAAGTTAATACCATTTATGTAAAATGGTTATTTTTCCAACGATCGCTGAGCTAGATTGGAATATCATGTAAATCATCTGTAAAAGTGACTGCCTTCGGAGCCCAATTCACATCGGAATTGGTACAAGAATTGAATTCATTAACTTGTTAAATGGCTAGCATAAGAGCCCAGCAAAAGCTGTATAAGATATCAACAAAAGCTCAATTCAATTCACATTTTGAATTGAATCTCTCAAATAGGAACCTTGAATATTTCTGTAAGTATACAACAATCCAGGAAGGAAAAACCCATAGGTAAACCAAATCATTTGCTTCTAAAAAGCATTTAATCTTGTAAATATTACAAAGAGAAACAAGGATACCGGGGATATCCGCAGAGTAAATGTGGGATTCCGGGGTTTCGGTCCAATGAACGTAGTTTCCCGGGATGAATTGGTATGGAAAGAGGAGAGGGGAGGTGAAAAAGGAGTGCCAAGAAGGGGGAAATGTTGAAAACTCCATTTTTTCTTCTTCCTTTTTTGCAGTAAATTTCTTGGTAAAAAACCAAGATTTGATAATTATGGATGATTATTGAATCAAAAGCAGAAAGGAAGAATGAAGAGGGAGAGGTTGGTTTGTCGAATTATAGAGCAACAAATTGGGTGGTGGTGGGTTTGGAAGGACTTTCAAAATGATTGGAGTTTTGGAATTTTGGAGGATATAACAAAACCCTATCCATTCAAGAAATTGTTTCTTTATTCATCTATCAATGATCAACGAATTTGAGGTTCTGGTTGAGATATTTTTGAGGTGAAATCACATTATTACCCTTAAAATATGACATAGATTGTTGGATATAAAAAGCTTTCATTAAATAACTATATCTTTATTCAAAGACATAAATAAAATAAAATAAAAGTAACCTAATAAACATGGATGTCAGTACCGGTAATCTTTTTCCTTTTCCCCAACAGAAGATAAGATAGTTTTATGATATGTATAAAATAAATAAATAAATCCCATGCACTTTTTTATGCACCATAATACCGTGTATCAATTTCTTATTATTTTTCCATTTTTTAATTTAGTTGACATAAATGCCTTAATCAAATCCAACTACTCACTAATTTCCGGTAATCTAATTTGAAACCTTCTAATCGGTATCCCTATAATTTTGGAGAATACCTTCCTATCCGGTTTAAATGGAAATTATATCCCATAAAATCAGTCCACGTTTTGACAACAATTCAACTACAATCAAAATCTTTTGACTTATTCCTTTGCAACACTTCAAGAAGAGGACCTACGTAAGAATCAAAATAAAAAACACCACGTAACCATTGAATTTTTCTGTGTTCATTAGTTTTTTTTTTTGTATTATCTTTTTTTGGATAAAGGGAAAAACATCAGGTTAGCAATCAAAATAAAAAACACCAGGTAACTATTGAATTTATGTTGTTTAATAACAACATACTTTCTATTAATGTAAACTTATAGCATCATACCATCAAATATAGCATCCTACTATCAGTTTTGTTTATCATTTAAAAATAAATTTGAACAAAGGGACTATTTCTGTAATAAATAGACCAAATATAGCATCCTACTATCAGTTTTGTTTATCATACAACATCCTACTTTCAATTTTATTTCTCGTTTATACAATAAATTTATGTTGTTGCATTTATGGATATCATATTTGGTATAATTGATTTTTTTATAACAAAATCATTCCTGGATGGATCAAATACTTCTCTAACCATGGATCTAGATATTCTCCAAGATAATTTCAGTTTGAAGGTTTGCATCCTCAGGTTATGGACCTTAACCTCATTCACAAACAAAGATGAACCGTTTTCCATTTACATTGATTTAGCATTAATGGATGAAACAACGTGTATTTATATTATTATTATTATTATATTTTCCATATTTTATTTAAAAATTACATACTTAATTACTTATTATATTTTATACTAATATATTCTTGTATGTAATTTTAGTGAAGCAAAATCCAATGGAGCGTGCAAAAAGAAATTGTCAGTAAGTTTAAAAATATTCTGTTTCGTATCTGATAGGGGTAAAATGGTTGTTTATATAAAACCAATGTTTTAGTGTTTTAGGGTTCCTTTGTTGCTTAATCAGCTTTATTGGTTAATGATGTATTTTCCAACGCAAGCATCACCAAATTAGATTTGCTTTAAATGCTTAATTTTTTTTATTCAACACCTAAAAGCATAATATTATTTTGATAGAACCACATCAACACCGGGTGACCTTTTGCCTCAAATAAATATAATGATATTACAAAAAAATAATAATAATAAAAATATTACTTTAAGGACGGATTTCTAATTTCTATAAATCCCTCAAACAAAATTGGAACTTTTGGTGCCCTTTGAAAAAATAGAAAATAAAATTACATCCGGCTTGAAACTACTTATGTTATTAACTCCATATGGTTTTTTTATCTCTGGTACAGCTTAGCTCAGTATGTTAAATGTGGTTTTTTATTTCATGGTACAGTTTTTTGCCTCATTTTAAGGATGTTTTAGTACCTGATGCAATTTGTTCATTAGGTCAATATGGTTTATCCCCCTCCCTCGGGTCACATTACACATTTTTGGACCAGTTTCCGCCTGTTTTGTATAAGATTGTTTCTTTCAAATACAAGATATAACAATTTACATTCAATTTTTTAATGTTGCATCCTACTTTCATTCCTTCTTATTGTAGCATTGTACTTTGAAACGTCTACTTGATTATACCAATGTCTTTTTGTGGAAAGCAAATATTATAGCTATAATGTGTAGATTTTTCAGAGTTCAACGTTCTAAAAGACAGTTGAAAAGTATAATTATGTAATGAATATTGAATATTATAATTTCAGTTTTAGTTTTTTTTTTCTGTTTTATATTTTCACTCTAATTTAATTTATAAGTTTCAAATTCATAAAAGACGAACATTTATTCTTTTTAGGTGAACGTCCTTACTTTTTGATGAATGTTGTGGGATTTTTAAATGCACCTTTCTTGAGTCTTGGTTAAATCTGTCATGTGCACTACACGTGTTATAACCTAGTAATGTAATAAATATAATTTTATGATAAATAAAATAAATGATAAAAATCTATAAATTGGTACCGCAGAACTAAATATTTTAATAGTAGCCTTAAGTCCAAAGTGTTGATGATATTGGAGAATTTAACACAACAAGAAATATAAGCTTTAGGGACGACACTTGACAATACGCGTTTTTGTCGTCGCTAATAAGGGCGTCGCTAAAGGGTTTGATCGGCGATCCGCGTGAATGCTTCCGGATCAATTTTTGTCCCTACGATTGCATCCTGATCCAATGGATGGGGTTCGTTATTGTTCACACCAATAGTGGCGACGCCATTTGTGACGCCGCTGTCGCCGCTAAAGGTGGCGAAAATATGAGCGCGTGAATTTCCCTCCAAATTGTCGTCTCTAAAGATTCAAAGTCGTCCCTAAAGGTGTCGCCCCTAAAGGGTTCCACCTTTTGTTCCCCATCAGGTCGCAGAACCTGATTACTTTCTAGTTTCCATTTCTCTCTCATTTTTTCCGGCGACAATCAGGAAGCATTTTCTAGAATTTCAGTGCATCCCACTTCTTCCGCCGGAGGGATTGCAGCTTCTCACCGGTTCCAGTTGCTCCACCGGCGACTATCACCTACTCAGCTCGCCACCGTCTCCGACGAACTTCTCCACCGGCGAAGATGCGTTTCCCTTTCTCATTTCCACAGTCTTTTCTCTTTCTCTTTCTTTTCTTTCTTCTCTAATTTTGTTGATTTTGGTGGTTTTAAGGAGATTTCTCTAATCTCCGGCTTTTAGAACCACCACATCAACGCCACTGTTGTCGCCTGTTAAGGCGTGTCAAACCCAACAAATAAAGGGGTACAAAATGACTCCAAAACACTGTTACTTTGCACTAAAAATGTAATACAAGGTAAGCAGGGTCGATCCACAGAGACACGGGACAAGTGCTTATACCTTTTTGCGAAAGGTACAATAATGGTCACATAAATGGGGGGTTGGTATGCAA